TTAATCGTTTTTAGATTTTGTATTTCTAATTACCTACTATCTGAAGGTACATTTGTGATTTCAAAACGTAAACGCACATCATATCCCGCAATACAATTGAACAATTACGACCATTTAAGTTCAGTGCTTGTACCTGTATTTTGTGTGTCAGTCTTTTTTGCACCATTCCTATGTGAGCACCAGTCCTATGTACCTGTTATTCCCTCTCCCGTTATTTGCAGCAGGTATGCTAATACTCTTGCAGAGCCTGCTAATATCGCTTTTTCACTCGTTCGTTTTTACTCTATTAAGGTGGCCTCAAAAATTTTTCAGTAATTAAAAACCTCAAAAATTCTATCGTCCTTAAAGATTGACAAATTACAATACTGGAAATCCAGAATCATCAATTCTTGAAATGTTATCATTGGGGTGTAACGGGGTGTAGTCAAGCTTCCTGGTATACTGTTACATTTGCGAGGCTATACTCAATTCCTACTCTTGCGTCCACGTCACGCACCCTGGAAACGTATAAATGTGTAAAAAAAACTTTAAACTTACTCGCGTAGCGAGGTTGTGCGCTGGGTTTGGGACCCGCCACTTAGAAACCAGCCCCAATGAAAAATATAACAACGACCCCCGCAAACGAATTAAGGATCGCGATTTGAGGGCATGCACCTGGAATCTCCGGTTCCTTAATTGGGAAGGTGCCGCTGCCAAGCTGGGTGATGTTCTCGTATGAATAAAGGCTGACATGACCGCCATCCAAGAAGTGTGATGCACGAGACAGGGACGAAAGCGAGTAATTTCTTGTGACATTTACTACAGCGGCTATATAAAGGAGCGCAAATTTGGTGTTGGATTTGTGGTGTCGAGTACTGACATTTACCCCAGTGGATGAGCGTCTGGCCACAATCCGCATCAAAGCGAGAATTTTCAACATATCGCTGATTTGCGCCCACGCCCCGACAGAAGAGAGGGACGATTTGAACAAAGATGCCTTTTATGAGCGCCTACAGCATACTAACGAGCGAGCCCCCGACACGACGTAAAAATCGTGGTTGGCGACTTTAAAGCCAGCGTGGGCAAAGAAGGTATCTTTGGTACAACTGTTGGACAATTCAGCCATCACAACGAAAAGTCCCCTAATGGGTTAAGGCTGATCGACTTTGCCTGGGCCCGAAATATGGTAGTCTGTAGTAATAGACTCCAGCACAAAAAGATACGCAAACTACTTGGCTGATCAAAAAGCACAAAACCAGATCAATCATATTGTGATAGACGGATAGACGTCTCCAATGTTTTTGACGTGCGTACACTCCGAAGACCCAACATCGACTCAGACCATTATCTTGTTGCAGCAAAGATACGCATGCGCCTCTGTGTATAGAAGAGCGCACGTCAACAAACACAAGGAATGTTTGACCTTCAAAAGTGCAATCACAACAGACTGCCGAACGATTTTCTACTCGACTTGCACTCTTGCTCTCTGAGAACACACACTAGCAACTCGGTATACGGGACCAGTGGAACGGCATTTAAAGCTCCCTACGTACAGCAGCAAACGAAACTATTGGATTTCGTAAAGGTCACAAATACAGCTAGTACGATGACGACTGCCGTATCGCAGTGGAGAGAAAACAGACTGCCTATCTCGTAACTTTGCGATCGACCACAACACGGGCGGGAGGGGATAGATACCGAAAGATGAAGAGGGAAGCAAGACGCATCTGCAGACAAAAAAAAAAGAGGCTGGAATGCGTGAGTATGAAGAGCATGAGAAGCTGACCGAAAATTCTACGAGAAGATACTACGATTTACGGAAGGTTTAAAGACCGGAGCAGACTCTAGTAGGACACAAAGAGGTAATCTAGCCACTGATGCCCAGATTATATTGAATTTATGGAAGGAACACTTTTCCCACCTTCTGAATAGTAGTGAAAATGGACAATCCGGGGATGATGAACCCGAAACCATAATCGTTGTCGATGGAAAAGAGCTTCCATTACCTGACAATGGAGAAGTTCGAATAGCAACCGCCCGCTTATAAAATAAAAGGCGGCGGGAGCTGATAGCCTACCTGCAGAAATATTCAAACATGGCGGTAAATAGTTGTGAGTCTGTGCTGATTTCCGTGGAATAAGCCTTCTTAGTATGGCCTATAAGGTCCTGTCGAGCGTATTGTGTGAAAGACTGAAGCCCACCGTCAACAAACTGATTGGACCTTATCACTGGGGCTTTAGACCTTGTAAGTCAACCATTGACCATATATTCACCATGCGCCAAATCTTGGAAAAGACCCGTGAAAAGAGATCGACCCACTCCACCTCTTCGTGGATTTTAAGCGGCCTTCGATAGCACGAATAGTAGCTGCCTCAACGCCGCTATGTCTGAATTTGGTATCCCCGCAAAACTTAGACGGTTGTATAAGCTGACGCTAGACAGTACCAGAAGGGCAGTCAGAATTGGAAAGGACCTCTCCGAGCCGTTCCCTACCAAACGAGGTTTCAGACAGGGTGACTCCTTGTCGTGTGATTCAATTTGATGCTGGAGAGAATAATATGAGCTGCAGAGCTGAATAGAGGTACAATATTCTATAAGAGTTTACAACTACTGGCGTACGCCGATGATATTGACATTATCGGCCTCAACAACCGCGCCGCTTTATAAAGAAGCGAGGCGAATGGGTCTGGTAGTGAACGAGGACAAGACGAAATATCTCCTGTCATCAAACAAACAGTCATCGTATTCGCGACTTGGCTCCCACGTAACTGTTGACAGTCACAATTTTGAAGTCGTAGATAATTTCTTCTACCTAGGAACCAGCATAAACACCAACAATAATGTCAGTCTGGAAATCTCACGCAGAATCACTCTTGCCAACAGTGCGGAAGCATGGACGGTGACACGATGTTCTGTACGAGTTATAAGGCGACAGAGACTACGGCTGGCTCGATCATATGGAACGGATGGATACGGATTTTTTCGATGCTGTACCCGCCGCTAAAAGCAGATTAAAAGGAAGAGGAAAACCTCCATTCCTGGCAGTACTGGGTATTTCCAATTGGCTTTAAATGGTAAAAAGAAGAAACGATGGCACAATGTTGTCAACTCGGCTATAATCGTGTAAGCGGTGTCTACGCCTGTAAACTAAGTAAGTAAGTAAGCCGTATATCTCTGCCAATACACAAAGGACCATAAATCTCCGAAAACTTTCTATTGAAAGCTCTTAATGCCCACTAATAGGATGTTGCCTTCGTTTCAGCTTCAATACCATACAGCAGGACGGGTTTAATGAGACACTTGTTCAGCTTGGGTTTTGTTCATCGAGGGGGATTTCGCTTTTCAATAATCTGCTCAGACCAAAGATGCACTTATGATTCTGCGGTAGATTTCTAGATAAACAAAACGCAACAGTGACGTGGGAGCTTAAACAAAAATGGGACGAGTGCTTGTTTGATGACAGGAGATATTTCGTCTTACCTTCGTTTACGGTCTACCTACAATAGAGAAATCAGATGATTGTACCTTTTTTAGCTGTGTGCGTCCATCTTTTTTTCACGAATCGTTTTAAGGACTGAGGGCATGATGAATATCTCGTCAATTGTGTATCTACGAGGTTCAAATATACACTGGTAAGATTTAATCAGTTTGTTAACGAGGGGTGGGTTTAGTCTTTGACAAAATACAGTTTGCAAAAGACCTGCCCGTCGCCACCGCTTCTGATTAACTCAGCAAGCATTCCATCGGGACTTCCATAATTGAGAGTCAGTCCCTGAGATTGAGGTGTTCCTTCCATGAACTCCATATGCTCTGAACACCGGCCACCACTTCATCTATCCCGTTCCTACAAAAGTGTACTGCGTTATTGAAAACTTCAGCATTTTCAGGCATTAGCCCTATTGTTCAGTTTTTCTATCTCTTTGCATTCACGTTTTCCGCTTCTTTCTCTTTTCCTGCAAATGCGCCCAGCTTTCCTTTTAAATTATAGTATCTTCCTACTAACGGGTCGTTACTGTGACTTAGCATTTCTGAAACTCTCTATGCCCACATTCGGATTCTCAATCATACCTTCGAAAAATGTATGTCTCCCGAACATGAACGATGGAACTAATAAGCATACCAAAAGCCAAAATTTCTTCATGGTAAAATATGGGTGTAGGTATATATTTATTTGAGTTGCAAAAGTTGTATATTTTTAATTTTCCTTACAAGCAGTTATAAACCAATCAGCACTTTTAGAGCCACCTGCCACCACATGAAAGATTGGTGAAATAGATGTTTTGCAATCCTATCCGAACAAAAAGCAAGTTCAATTTGAAGTGCCCATATTCAATTTAAGGTATGTATTAGTTCTGTTCGTCGAGCTGCTTGCCATTAACAATTGTTACTAATTGTCACAAGTTAAGGCCAAGCACGAGGAAAATAAATTACAGAAAGAGCATAATTTTTACATTTAGTGTAGAGGAGAAATCGTGAATTTTGTCTGCGAAAGTTGAAAGGTTATTAGATCTTAGAGCAAATTGAAAAATCTACACATCTTATGCTTTTATGCTTCATAAAAGAAGAACCTGAAAAAGCGAGCTCTATACACCAAAAAAACACTTCGCTCGATTTTCCGATCGCAATTTTCCAATAATTCCAAATGAAGAACACCAAAATCGTTGCATAAGCGGAAGAAAAACTGATTTTTGATAAATTAATTTCGATAAAAATGGGATTTCATAACAGACTATTAATTACTTAAATTAGTTTAGTAGCGATCAAGGGTAGATTTTTTCACAGAAATTCAGAACAGCGAACTGTCAGTGAAAGCTACGATAATGATTTTATTTTAACCAGACGTGAGAGTTGTTGCCGAAAACGAGATTGGATTAAAAAAATATTATATTTTAAAACTGCGCAATATATATTATATATGTTAAGCATATTTATTATATGTTTATTTGTTCGATAAAATTGTAAATATTTCATGTTTCATATAACTAATTAGAACTCCATTATTTTATTTTTCCTTCCAAAAGATTCCTCATACTATTATGATGGCAGCCAAAGTCAAACATCGGCGGTACTAAATCAAGACATGCGATCTCCTTTGGCGGCCACCCGAGCCAATTCCTTAGCGTCTGCAACTTCACCGACAGGAAGTGCATGCACCAAATCGGAAACGTCGGATATATTTTTGGTGTAGCACCTTACGAATTGTAGACATTAAATCTCGTAAAAAGGAAAGATTGAACATTTATAAAACATATAACGCACATTTAAAATGATAAAATCATCCAGGGAATAATGTCTTTTACATATAGTTGTGCATATTTGGCCTCGCAATATGTACAAAAATGTAATATAGGTTATACACCATTAAATACTCGTAAGTTAGACATATGACTTGGGCAATGTCAAAGAAAGTGAACGTCAGAGAATTAACTTTTTAAATTGATAAAATGAAATTTCCTATGTATCAAATTTATTTATTACCTGTTATATGCATTGCTGACATGGCGTAAAGGTTATCTTAGATATGTGCATAATTGTGTGCAAACCTATAAAAAAAAAATTAAATATCAACGTCCGTAAATAAATATTTAGGAAACTTATTTAGTTTGTCTAATATGTATTGTAGTAGTGGTAAAATGTATAGAAATGTGTTGTACACACTTAGCCATGTTAATAGCACTTTCGACATGATTAATTTTTCTCCTACGTTTTCTGGTGTACAAGAAAATAATTACAGCTTTTTAATACATTTTGCTTAATTTGAAAAAAATCTAGAAAATTAATATAGCTAGTGAGCGCTCAATGGTCGAAATTCAAAAACATTTCTATTAAAACAAAGTGTTTTTTTTTCAACATTATCTAAATCGTATTAAAAAAAGTCAAATGACTAATTAAATAATATATTTTTTTTAATTTTTTAATCAAAATTATTCATATATCAAATAAAGTCAAATACATTTTCAAATAAAAACATAGACATTTTTAGGTGCATGCAGAACACGAGCTCACCTGATGCAGGCACTGCCTCGTTGAAACCAAATAATAGAATGTTAAATCGGCGAAATAGGTCTTTTCTACATTCCCCTGAAAGTAGAATATACAACGGGACGGGGATTAACATTGCGCCGAGCACTAGCGACACGTTAGTAGTACGGTTGAAATTGGGGTCTTTCAAGCATATGTTCGAACTCGATCCTTACTCTAGAGTTCATTGTGCTTGCAGGAGGGACACATGAAGGCGTTTTCTTAACCGTATGACATTGTTTGGGTTGGTTGATGCGCCTCTCACTTGGAGTTGTGTATGCCTTTTTAACTGCCGATCGTACCATCGACAAAGGAGGTCTGAGGCTCGGCGATTCTCGGTGAATCTGATTAGCGGCTGAAGGTCTGTGAAACGTGTGCATCCATGGTAAGTACTTGTTCGTTCTCAATGCTTTCTTCCCAAGCCTTAGTGCTGTATGGGTCGTGTCCAAGTGCAGGAGACTATTATGTCGCTTTTGAAACCAATTTGTAGTTTTTGGCTGATATAAAGGTTTTCGTCATTGAATCGGCAGTTTGCGCAAAAAAGGCGCAAGTGGACGACAAACATTCTCTCGTTAGGTTCCATACAAAGCAACTCCCACTAAAATACTTGGCGGTGGTTGTCGGTTGTCCAAACTTAGAAAACCCTGTTGATTCTGCCGAGATGCCATTCTTTTAAGGTAAGTTATCTTCTTTAATAATTACGATGCCGTTAACTTCGATGTTTATTTTAGGGGAGTGCCACTTGACCTGCTTCTACAATTCTTTAAGATATTCTGCTTTCCAACGTTGGCAGGATCCATGGTGAATTCCCTTAATCTTCTGCCATTGATTCACAATCTCTCTCTCCGCTATAACAAGTAGTGGGTTTCCAAACAAAAAGTGTCCTGGTCTAAGTGGCTCCCTCGAGTCAGGACTGGGTGATAATGGTATGGTCGGCCTAAGCCACGCTTTCATTTTGGTAAACAGTGTTGAAACCTCTTCCATGGCATTCACTAGATTTCTAAAATTTGTTTTAAAGTTCTTCACTCCCGGTTCCCATAGTTCTCCCATATATGGTGCTCCGGTTGGGTGAAAATTGCACTCCAATACCACAATTTACCGCTGCAGTAAAGAGATTCTTAAAATTCTGCTTCAAAGCCTTGCTAGCGCCAATGAAATCCTACCATTGTCGGAATATATTTTACATGGACAGCCGCGTCATGCCACGAATCGCGAGAAGTCGGCTAATGCGTAGATTTGAATAAATTGCTGGTATCTTACAAACGCATTGTTGCAAAGCAAACAAAAACACAAACGCATCCTATAGTGATGACGTATTCCGGATGTCGAATGGTGCGTCTAATTAATTTAGACAAGAGTTATGCGTCGTGTAGTTTTAAAAAAATTTTGCAGGTACTACCTTTGTTTTACTCAACAATTTGTTAATTTACACAACTCTATCGGAATTACATTTGTGTATTTTTACGTACAACGTTGCTGCGTATGCTTTTTCCGAAGTGTCACAAAATCTATGGAGTTCTACTTCCTCTTGAGGAGGGAAATGAACCCATATCAAATATGTACACAATAAGTATTCCTAAGAATGGTAAAGATTTCTGGGTATTATTCCAGACAGTTTCTGCTAATCCGTATTCGCTTCAGCGGTTACAATTATATATACTCCTAAAAAAGTTGGCATAAAATAAATAAGGACCATAAATCTTACACAAAACCTTTCTAACGACGACTCATCTGATATTGTCATCGTCCATGCCTCTGCAGCATATGGCAGGACGGAAACGATAAATTACTTGTCGAGATCTTTTTCCATTCGTCGAGAGAGGACTTTACTTTTCAATTGCCCACTCAGTAGCACCTGTTGTGACTCCGAGTTGGATTTCAAGGCTGACATTGTTGATGAGGTTAGTACTGGTTCCAAGACAGACGAAATCTTGCCCTCGCTCACTACCACACCCATATCTTTCGCTTCCTTATCCAGTCTGGATTGAGGAAAACTAACTACGCGGTTATTGAGGCCGATAATGACAATATCAGCTTCGTACGCCAGCAGGTGTACTTTCTTATAGAATATTGTGCCTTCTTTGTCTGCTCTGCCGCTCTTTTTATTTTCTCCAGCAATACATTAAAGAAGTTAAGCGGTAAGGAATCACCCAGTCTGAAACCTCGTTTGGTATCGAACAGCTTGGAGGGATCCTTCCCGATCCCGACAGAGCTTTTAGTGTTGCTTAAAGTCAGTTAACATAGCAGTATAAGTTTTCGGGGATCCCAAACTCAACATAGCGGCGAAAAGACAGCTCCTTTTCATGCTGTCAAAGGTGGCTTTAGAATCGACGAAGACGTGCTGATCCTCTTTTCACGAACATTTTCCAAGATTTGACACGTGTTGAATATCTGGTCGATGGTTAACTTACTGGGTCTAAAGCAACACTGATAAGGTCCAATCAGGTTGTTGATGGTGAGCTTTAGTCTTTCACACAAGACACTCGACAGGACCTTGCTTTGTTTGTCTGCAGTTGTGTCTCGCTTCCCTCTTCAATTCTCAGTATCTATCCCATCCCGCGAATGTAGTTTATCGCAAACGTTTCGAGGAAGACAATGTTTTTTCTCTCCACTGTGACTACCGTCCTCATCGTACCAATCCAATAGTTTCGTTTGCAGCTGTAGGTGGGGAGTTTGAAATGCCGTCCCACAGTTCTCATATACCGAGTTGCCCACGCTGGCAACAAAATCGCCCGGGGGGCAGCGCTCGTAAGTATTCTCTAGGCGCTCATAAAAAGCATCTTTGATCAAATCGCCTTTCTCTATAATAGGGGCGTGGGAGTAAATCAACGATATGGTGAAAAATTTCGTTTTGAGGCGGTTTGTGGCGAGACGTTTTAAGAAACAAAATGTTAGTATATTCAGGTTTTCGAATTGATCGGAATGGTTTGATTCTCGGAAGAAAAAGTAGTCTCCAAGTTAATCAAATCAAAAAGTTACATTTGTAACAAATTTCAAGTAAATCGAAATAAGAACCGTTTTTTTTAATACATACAGTATGCCAACTAAGTTGATCACACCTGGGCATTAGAAAAAGATTTTTGGGTGTAAGTTTTTTATTTGTAATGACACTCCAATCTTATTTCACAAAACGACTCAAGGTAATAAAATAAAAGTAACATACATTTTCAAGATACATGTTTCTTTTTGTACATTTGATCATTTGGTTGACTTAAACGATTTTTTACTTAATATTTAACATGACCCTCTTTTACTTTGAAGACTGCCTTAATTCGCTTGGGCATATACTCGACCATTTTCCAGCAGAAATCTCAGCTAATATTTTGCCAGTCATTTTGAACCTTCCGCCATAAATCGTAAATATTCTGATGCTCATCTGGTGAATCAGATATCGTAGGCTTGACCTCAACCCATGCATGTTCGATTGGGTTGAGATCTGGTGATTGAGGCGGCCAGTTGATTACTTCAACGCTATTGTTTTTAAGCCAGGCTTTGGCAACACGGGAAGTCACTGTCATGCTAGATGATAACGTCCGACACATTCTTGCTCACATTTTTCGGCTCCTGCACAACACAGTAACCTTTACACACCCTGCAACCTCTTCCAGTCTCATACATCCCAACATCATTTCATTCTCTATTATCTCCAAATCTATTGCCGCTCATCTTTTCCCACGCTGTTTATTTCTGTTTCGTCTGACCATATGACTCGGTTCCAGTCATTTTGGGTGCAGGTTCTATAATATTTACAAATTGGAGCCTCAATTCACATTGTCATTTTATCAAGAGTTGCTTTCTTATTTTCATACACATCAAACTTTATCTGCCTCGCCATAGGTCTTTCCAGAGTGGTGTTCAAAATACGTCCAGACTTGCTTTTTTTTGCATAAAAGACATTATGATTTTTTTTTCTTAAACTACACCCACACAAACACGATCGAGTCTAGGAACTTCTCTGTGTTTCGTGCTTAAGTTAATAAGACTTTTGACTTCTATTTTTTTTATAATCATCTATTTCAATTATGCTGAAGCCAATTTTAATAAAATAACAACGAAAAATAGTAGAAAATACTGACGTTTTACTAAAACTGTAACGATTTCATTACTAACGATTTCATTACTAACGATTTCATTACTAACAATTATATAATTAAAAGATTAAACAGCAGTGCGACTAATAATTATCTACTTAACAAAAACAACTTAGCGATCACACGCCTGTGTTTACATTTGTAAATATTCTCTGAAAAAAAGCGGAATATATCCAACAATTCCCAACTTAAATGATATTTTATAGCGCTACTAAGTGAACTTATCCTTCTATATCTTTACATTTCTGTTCATATCTGCAAAAGATGGCTTTAATAATTTGTATCTCGCGATTGGATGAAGTTAGAATGATAATGGAAAGATGATATTTTCGACTAAAAAATAATAGAAGAAGGTTTGTTCACTTAACTTCTTTTTTTCATAATTATTAATATTGATGTATAAAATGCTCTACGGTGTGGAAGACCAATTGGTGAAAATGCCAATAAAAAATGGATATCGTCAGGCCTAATTGTCATA